TAAAATTTTTATGTGATCATATATATAACTTTTCCCTCGAAAGAAAAGCAATGTTTCGTTTTCCTTTCTTCTTCACGCCCTCAACCATAATAGTGATGCTTAATTGCTTCAAAAAGCTTTTATAATTGATAAATCAGCGTTGAGAAACTGTTTTTTCTAGAAGAAAAGGGGTTTCTCAAGCAATGAAAATTGTTCTAAAAATTATCGATGGGTCAGTGAGGATCATTTAGAATTATTTAAATCATATTAGTTTGTCTACTCAGAATCCATGTATAACGAGCAACACATTACTATTTATCCATAAAATTGGAAAAAAACGAATTTGCTAAGATTTTGACGCATGCTTTTGTTCTGGTTATTGAAAAGGCAATTATAATGAAGTATCTATCAGAGATTCCACAAACTTTGAGACTACAGTAAAGCGCTTCTTAAAAAAGTGTATTTGAATTTCGCGCTTGCCATAATCATAAATCGTAAGCATCTTGTCAGTTATGCTAAATATTGAGGTGAAAAAAGTGCTACTTCGTCTTAATTTACGAGACCCCTCAGTACTTGAATATAAACCTTGATTCTCATTAAAAGACTTATTTTTGCCTGAAAGTCTTTTCCCTTATGATATTTCAACAATCTAGCAAATGAAAAATCAAACAATCCTAAACTAATCAATAAGATGAAAATCCATATCTTTAGATCACCTGGTACCACAACGACAAGAAACTTGAGAGCAGCGAAGAGATCAAAGTGAAATTCGAAGAAGAAACTGGAAAGACGTCAATTCGCATCTATAAACCCCAACTCGCTCACAATGGTACCGTTCGGGTAATCGCTGAGAATGAGTTTGGTCGTGCGGAAGCCACTGCTACATTAAAGGTTTGAGAAAATGTTTATGTATCGATCAAGGACTGCGATCAATAATTGCTGTAATTAAGGTTGAACGAAAGACTGAAGTACCAAAGTTCACTAGTAATATGGATGATAGGCAGGTTAATGAAGGCGATACGGTAAAGTATACGTCAACTGTGGAAGGATTCCCAGAACCTACGGTAGAATGGTTCCTGAATGGGGAACCTGTAAGCAAATATCCGTAAGTTATCGATTTATTGATCAGTTGGGGCTGGTTTTGATTTTTTGTCACTAAATGAGCGTTTTATTTTAGAAATATTACTGTTACTGAAAGTGCTGGACAACATACTATAGAGATCAAAGAAATTACCCCAGAGCAATCTGGAGAGCTCTCTTGCCAGGTAAGAAATTTATTTAACGATTTTTGAATCGATCAATGATTACTTGATTCAAGGCATCTAATGCTGGTGGAATGAAGAAGCAGAATGTGATTCTGAACGTCAAACGAGTTGGCGAGGCGCCAACTTTCGCGAAAAATCTAGAAGATCGTATGGTTACCGAAGGAGAAGTCACTATCATGGAGGCTAAACTCAATCAGGTATGGGCTTCTACATTGATTTTGAGTGAAGTATTGATTGAAATACTGATTTTTAGGTCAAACCAAAGCCAACAATTACATGGCTACGAGACGGCAAAGAGTTCAAGAGTGATGATCACTTTGTGCTTTCTGAACAAGAAGATGGCACCCTACAGTTGAAAATCATTTCGACAAAAATGGAAGACAAATGCAGAGTTACAATCAAAGCTGAGAATTACTTTGGAACTGCTGGTAAGCAAAGTTTTCCTTTAATTTTTAAGATTTTCTCTTTTCGTGTGACGTGATTGGCCAATTTTAGAAACTTCTGCCTCTTTGGGTGTGATAAAACCACGCCCAATGGCGAAACCAGCTTTCCAAAGCGATATTGCACCAATTCATCTCACCGAGGGTGATTCGCTACAGACAAAACTTTTGATTACTGGTGATCCAACGCCATTTGTCAAATGGTACATCAATAACCAGGTGGGTTAAGGTTTTTTCTTACAAAAAATACTTTGTTTAGTTTTTAAAACTACAATGTCAATTGATAAACGTTATAGCAGTTCCTAGATAGTAATGACGTCATATGATTTTGGATTTGCGACAAAATTGCAGCATTTTTTTAAAGCTACTTAATATTTCTTTAAATTTTTGCAGTGGATCTTTTTGTAAATGTCAGTGGAGGTCTTCTAGAAAAATTTA